GCCCCCGGAGGTGGCTCCGCGCCCTGCCAGAGGCGGTGCCACAGCCCTGAGTCCCGGCCCTCCATAGCCATGTGGCAATCTGGGGCGCTCTGGAGTGTGGTTTATTTTTAGAAAAGCCTATTTATTTTTCTTATTAGTCCCCCAAAGCGTACGTCTGATCATTGTGTTTACTCTTGTTATTGCAGTTATTTGTGTTCCCCCTATAATTCAAAGCTAAGCGGAATGTGTTTAGACGAGGATGAAAAACGATTTTGTGTTTGAAGTGAGCTATTGAGTCATCATAATTAACTTTGATCTCTTTTTTTTTTAACCCTGAAAGAATACTATGGTGTTTGCCTGGCCAAATGCTGAGGTAAAGCTGTGGAATTTAAAGCACTCTTAGCTTCTCAGAAGTCATCTCGAGTAAGCTATGAGCTATGACTAGTGCAGCAGTCAGAGATCAGGTTTCATGGCTCTTCAGCTGCCTAAATAGTTCTGCCTCCAACCTGGCAGAAAATGGCCTTTGATAACATTTGTTGCCCTTTTATAAAGGTCAGGTACTCCATTACATCATCCTGACTCAGAAGCAGCCTTCCTCCTTGTTTTGAGTGATGCCATGATCAGCAGAGTTCCTAACATCGTGGCTGTTACTTTGTCAGAGGACCTCAGCGTACTATCAGTGTCATTATTGTAATTTCTGGAAGTAGTAGTCTGTAAACTGCAAGTTTTGTTTCCTACAGCACCCAGACAGATTTCCACATTTCATTTTAGGGGCACAAAAAACCCCCAAACCATGTTTGGTGAACATTCCTAATAATTTTGCAGGAGAGATTTGCTATTGGTTAACCAGGAAGTAACTCACTGCAACCTCTAATTGTGTGTTCCTTTTATTCTCCACCTTCAAAAGAGGTAATTAGAGGACTCAGGAAAAGGATGGAAATCTTAGTGTCATAAAAATCTTTTTACCATGATATGATGATTGGGCACTACATTAGAACAATATGTCCTACAACTGAGAGCTAAATTTCAGCTTTGTAAAAATCATTAAGTAGCAACTAAGTGAAATGTCTCAAACTTAGTATCAAGTATTTCATTTCTAAACGTTGACAGACAGCAGTCCTCCAGTGTCAACCCATACCATGGATGTGGATGCTCTACAGAAACTTATTCATTTGCTCCAGGCCACAGATGATCCATTAATTCAAGAGCAAGCTTTAATCACTCTCAGCAACAGTGCTGCCTTCTCTGTAAATCAAGTGAGTATTGTTCTGTAGAAAACAACAGTGTCCAATGCCAGCCAGTCTGGCAGGGGAGAGCTGCTGTTTTGCTAAAGAGTGACACAGGACTGAAAGCTAGGACAGCTTGTGCTCTAAAATCTGTTTAATGTCTTGCCTTAATTTCTGCTGGCTCAAATAATATAATTCACCAGCTTCACAGAATTTATCAAATTATAATGTTTGGACCACTTAAAGTCCATACAAAGTCCTGTACTTCAAAAGTGTTGTAAATACATCTTTTGTTACTTAAAATTATGTAATGTTAATGAAAGGGTTGAATACTAGGTTAAATACTTTCTGGTTCAGATCTAAACTTTAGTGAGATAAACTATCTTTTTTGCCCCTCACAAAGTTATGTGCTGTTGCACATTAGCAATTTTACAACTATCGAGGCATCTCCAAATCATTTGGACACAGAATGCAGAAAAACTGTGAGCTGGATGCCAATTTTCATACCTTTTTACCAGTTTAACCTTCAAGGTACCACCCTTTTTGCTCTTTATGATTGCCATCTATTCTGGCTTCTCAAAATGGCTTTCTTAATATAAATCTCTTAGAATGCAACTGAAGCATAACACTCATTAGACCATTTAATTTTTTTTAAGAGCAGGTTTTTTTGAAAAGACAGTTAAAGTCTAACTGAGAAAGATTAAAAACAGTAATAAAAACAAGTGTAATGGAAAGTTTCAGAACCTCTAATAATATGAAGCTACATCTTGAAATTTTCTCCTGTTCAAGCAGGACTTTTAGGTACTGCAATCTGGCTCAGCTGTTCTATTAACTCATTATCAAGTAATTTCCTTTTATTCTTTATAATGTAAAATGCTTTAAGCATGCTTTGCAGACCAGATTTTAAAAGCAAAGGTGATGTGCTATTGTCAAATAACAGCAACTAATACTTTTGTTCCTAAGCAGAACCCTTCTTAGTTTCAGTAAAGCAATAAAGCAGTATCTGCTAACACTCTCTTGAAACAGAGCAGTCAGTTCTGAATTCTTCATTCACATACTTCATTTTTGTCAATATGGAGACATTGAGGGAATGCTTCAGCATTTAAATTGAATTTTTTAAAATCCTATTAAATATCTTCTATATTTCAGGATATAATCCGAAATTTGGATGGTCTGTCTGTTATTGGAGGGATGCTCTCCAACTACATTCCCAAAGTTAAAGAAAAAGCACTGAATGCACTTAATAATTTGAGTATGAATATTAAAAATCAGGAAGAGATACAGGTAAGATTCTTTTCTAATGGGAAAAACCAAAGTAACCAAGGGAAAGGGATAGTATAGGTTCTTCAGCATATTTGTTAAATAAAAGCCAGGATGCTTGTATTTAAGGATGCTTTGATGAAAGACACACAAGTCAGCAGATCTGGATGACTGGAAGGAAAACTTAGAAGTGCATTGCTTCACTGGCATTTACTTTTAAAATAAAAGACAGGAACCTATGCAGTTTGTGTCCAGCTTTCACAAAATACAATTAAAGAGAGATTGTGCTGCTAAGATTACAGCAAAATTATGTGAGCTAAGATGATTTCCAAACATACCTACAACATCAGCAGTGGCTATTTAACAGAACAGATTGCAGATTGAACTTGCCAGGACTCCTTAGGTGAGGGAGAAGAAAAGAGTATTTGAGCCCCCAATTGGGTTTGTACAAGTCCAATTTTTCAGGTGATACTTCCATCTTAAAAGAAAAGTGTGTATAAATTATAACAAGTTCCACTGGTAAATACAGTACATGCTATGGATATGAAAGGACTAAACATCAAGAAAAAAAGAAATCAATCTGATTAATCAATAGATCAAGAAGTGTCCAAGTGGTGAGCTGAGGCAGATTTGAAGACTTTTAGTAGTTTGTTTCAGTAGCTTGATAAAAAGATAGTGTGACTGCATGTGGCAGTTTGCAGCACCTTAGCAATAGGCAATTTTTATTAAGTAGAGTTTGTTGTCCATGTTTGTCTAGGTGTATAAGTAGAAAATAATTCCTTTGGTAAGGGTAAATTACTTTTTTCCCTCTGTTAGGACTCCAAGATTCATTGTATACTGTCATCCAGAAGAAAAATTGGTAGAAATAGTAGTTAATGTCAGTTGTTATTGCTGTTCCTGCAGTGTGCTCCAGTAAATGCACCACATAGCTGGGAGAAAGGATTTCATTTCAAAGCTTGTCCTTTGCTTGTTCTCAATATTTAAGATGTTAGTTATTTATAAGTGATTGTTAAAACAACTCCCTAAGGCAGCTGTGTCACTTCTGAGATGGAGGCAAAGCAATTTAAGTTTTCAGAGCAAGTTTTGTTTCAGGAAGATTAGTGAGCATAATGCTGTATGGTCTGCTTCTGTAATACCACTAGAATGTTTGAAATATTCAAAACAAAAATGCACTTGTTTCCAAGATCCTTCACTATTCAGCCAGCAATGTTCAGGAAGCATTTATGTTACTGTAGCTAGGCCATTGATACTATTTGTGACAGAAAATATGTTTTTATTAAAAACTATTCTCTCTTTATTTTCTCCCCCCTTTCCCCAGGTATTTATTACACAAGTTTGTGGGACTGTTGAGTCAGCTCCCCTGAACTCTGATGTGCAGCTAGCTGGACTCAGGCTGTTGACAAATATGTCTGTTACCAATGAGTACCACCAAAAGATGATAAACTCCATTCCATGCTTTCTTCATTTGCTTTCAGAAGGAACTGAAAGGACACAGGTACTGGCTAGTGTTATTTTTACAAGCTGTTTATGAAGCTGCTTTGCTTGCCTTGTTTCTTAACATTTTGGTTAAATGGTTTAAACTGTGCTAAGAAAAACCAAATATTCATTAATGATAACAGATTTTATACACTAAAATATGGATCTCTATTAGTTTCACAATATAAACTCAAAAACCAGGGAGGGAAGGGAATCTTGGTAGTGGAACCATCAGGCTACAGCTCTACCAAAGCAGTGCAGGGTGCCTTTACCATTGCAACTCTGGAATTCTCTTCTGCTCTAAACATTGCTACTGCATCCCAGAGCAAGGAGAACCTGCCTGGGAAAGGCTTCATAGATGCATGAATCTCTGCAGGGAAACATGCCAAGCAGTGATACGAAGCTATGGACTTCAGTTCTGTTGTGCTTATGACTCCTCTGGCAACCTTAGTGACTGCAAGTGGAAATCCTGCTTATTTGTTGTAATACTGAAATGAGTTTCAGTTAGGGACCAAAGTCAGCTTTATGCGAGATGTTGTAGTACCTTCAGTGTATGTGGTTGCTCTATCAGTTCAAAACCAGTTTTCCAAAAAGCTCATTTCCACTAAACACACCTATTGTACTTAAGTCCAGAAGTAATATGGCCTTTTCCCAGTGTTGAAATACTAGAATCACAAGGTCCAAGAAAGCACAAAGGTGTATTTGTATACACTTCCGATCATTTTAAATGCAGTACTTAAAACATCTTCTTCGTATTTTAAACATATTCTGCACTTAGCCTAGGATTCATTTATGGCTCTTGCCTTATTTTGATTTTTAAGTCAATCTGAATTTGCTTCTAACATGTCTATACCTTGGTTTTCCCTGTACCAAAATACTCAATATTGGTTAACCCATTTTGTCTTTTCCTCCCCAAGTCAACTTTGACATTATTGATACCCATTACAGCTTTACTTACTGTTTTGGAGCTTTTAATGAAACTGAACATTCCTCACTTCAGATTCAAGTTTTGAAAGTACTTGTGAACTTATCTGCAAACCCAGCCATGACAAGACATCTTCTCAGAGCTCAAGTAAGATTCTTGCTGCTTCATTTTATTTTTGGCATATATACATGTGTTACCAGTTAAAATATTGCATGCACTAGAAGAATTTTAATGTATTAGAAATATATATGCAATTCCAGAATCAATTCTAGACACTGCTTGGTTAAAATCAGTAGCTAAGTGCACATTCTTTCCTGGGCAGGATTTATTGCAGAGGGCAGTGTAATACAGATATTGTACTAAGAGAGGGAGGGGCACAGGGCCTGTGCCCTTGGAGACCCTGTGTGGTTGTACTTCCTGTGTAACATTCAAAATAATCAATAACTTGCAGAAGCCTGATCTAACCTTCCCTTTCCACCAAAGGGATAATACCATGAACTTCAGTTTGTATTATGTAAAAGGAACCCAAAACTTTATTTTCAGACACACAGTCAGTATATAGATTGAAAACTATCAAATAGTACTAGTTCTATTAGTACTAGTAAGTGATCCTTCTCAACTGCTGTTTCCATAGCCAATGTACTGGGCCAAACCCAACAAATTCCACTGGAATCCACACCCCTTTATTCAAATGCAGCCATAAAAACTGTTGCCTCTAAGTGAATTTCCCTGTGCATTTACTTATTTCTTCATGGAGAAATTTGTGTGACATTTGCTGTGTTGGCCTTGGCACACAGGTTTCTTTTGAACTGACACCAAATTCTTCACACCAAAACAGCATCCTCATCCCCCTCCTCAAAGTAACTTCCTTAAAATGTGCAATGGCATTTATTTGTAAGCTATCTGCCATGAGCAAAGCTAGTCTAGATAATGCTGTCTTCGTTATTGAAATAAGGTTAGTGTGGCTAAATATTCAGTTCTCTGTTAAGTGTATCATTTTTCATTTATCAGATATGCTAACAAAAACATTCAGGGCAACGTGGCTGAGAAGAAAAGCAGACCCTGTCTTTCAAATGGGAATTTTCTAGACAGCCACATTTTGGAGATTGAAAATACAAAGCATTTATTAACCCATTGATGCACAGGCCAGTCTTTTCTAGAGAGAAGATATGCACACTGTGCAAGTTTCTCACGGGGGTTTACAGCATACTGGGATGTCATACAATTTCCGTGTTAGATGGTTTAGGTGCACTTTTTTTTCCATCTTCTTAAGTGTGATTTAGTTCCATGTACTTACTGCTGGTGATTAAGTATGGACTATTTCTTCAATATCCTAGGTGCCATCATTGGTGTCACTTTTTGACAACTGTGTAAACAGAGATATTCTGGTTCGTGCCCTGGCATTTGCAGCCAACTTGAAAAAGAACATGAAGGATGAAGAAAGCACCAAGATTGAGGAATACAGTGAAGACTCAATTTTCTTCACACTCTGCAGGGACTCTGCCCCATTTGCCCAGAGACTGGCATCTTTGCTGCATCACCCTGACACAGAAGTGAAAGAACAAGTTGTGAGAATATTAACACAATAGTGCTGTTTCCTTATACAGGCTGACCTGATGAAAATATCTAATCTTGGCAATGCTAGGCTAAGAAAGCCTGCAACAAGTAAATACTACAACAATGATGGAGGAAAAAAAAGCCCTAAATATGATCAGATATTTTTTACAAGCAAGAGAAAAGCAACAGCTTAATTATTACTGATAAACCACTGCACAGTTGCTACATTCATGCAATGGAGGCAAACAGTTTAAAGCATGAAAACATTTATATGTAAAATGAACATTTTAAATGGATGAGTGAAGTGAATGAAAGTATCCCTTGCAATGTCAAAGACCTTTTTTTTTACTTTAAGTATTTACAGCTGTTGAATAAATACCTCATTGCAATTGTGCATTAAAGATTTAGTAATTGGAGATTAGGCATTTATATTTTATTAGTCTACATATGAAAATGGTACAGCTGAATCTTACAAAATAATATTAAATAAAAACAATACTAAACTATAATTGGCTTCCTACAGAATCAGTATCTTCAATGAAAGCTGCATACTAAAGTCACCAAACCTAGGTTTTTTCATTGTACCTGTATGGAATTTATTCTTAAACTCCATTTTTGCATGCTTAGTATATCCACTCCATTTAGCCAAACTGCAGTGCAATTAACTACAACTGTAAAAGGTTTCTACACTTGAAGAAAATTTGAAAGGATTTTATATTACTTTAAAATTGTCACTTTAGGGAAAGCAGACATTTTTAAAGTTTTTTATTAGGAGTCAAGGATTATCTGCAACTGTAATTCAGTATTCTCATTCTTATTTTTAAAAAGTCTACAGGAGCAGTATCATACACATTTTTACAAAAGCTTCCAATTTTGTAGCAGTCCTTGGGCTTCCTTTCCTTGGATATCTTTACTCCTTTTTTTTTTCTGCATCTGGAGCATCACTGGAATGAGTGCTTCTGCAGAATGGGCCCCCATAAAGTTTTAGTCATCAACCCAGCATTACTTCAAAATGAAGTGGAATCCATACAAACATCACTGTAAAAGAACCTGAACAGAGTTTCCTTGATGAACAGAAAACATACTGGAAAATACTTCTAAAACCAAACTACCAAAAAACTTCCACTACAGAGAAACTAAAAAGGTGTCAAATGTAAAGGCTAGGAAAGTTTTCCACTTTGTTCCATTTTTAAGAGAACTGTATCACCTAAACTGTTACCAAGTGCTTCATCTTTCTCATTTAGCATACTCACTGCTCTTAGAAAACATTACTATCTTCTCTTTCTGTACTACAATAGATGCTTTTTTTCAGGAGGTCACTTTGCAAATAGCTAAAACTGCAAGAAAAATATGACCTTGAAACTGTGACACACCCAAGCCCTGATCAATACAGGGGTAAAGCTACACATATCTAATTTATCCACGTAGGTAGTTTTAACTCACCAGGAATAGAGTTCAGGCAGAAATAGAAGCTGGCATGACTCCCAGTCAGAAACTTGACAATTGCTGCATTGACAGTGAACTTCCTTTTCTCCTTCCCACTGCTCCTAAAACACTGTACAGTTTGTAATAAGCAAGTTACATTACAATCACTTCATGTTTTGCAACTTTTTGTAGATTTAATGTTTTCCGCTACTGAATTTGACTAAGAAAAGATTATGCCAGACACTAAGAATTTACCCACTCTCCTCTCCTGACAAGAGATTAGGACCAGTCTGTTCTAGGTACAGCTGATACATGGTTTCCTAAGCTCAACAACAGAGATGTCTAGATGTCCCTTTCTGTGTTCTTCAAACTAAAAATAAGTTTTTCAAGTATCATCTCTTTTTGATAGAGTTGATCTCTTAGCCGTTGCTTTAACACCTGACACAAACAAGTGACCTTTTCTAAAAATACACAAGAACTTGCTATGGTGTTGTCTCAGTTTTCTTTTTCTGGTCTGGAAAGAACTGTTTTTAAATGCTTTCTTCATAGAGAAATGCTGCTGAGATGTTTGAAATCATGCAAGACTTTCCAATGTGCCTTTATGCAAAGATGTCTCATTTTTTATCACCTACCTCACACCCTTGGTGGAATCTTATCAGCACCAAGCAGAACATGACGGTCACCATTCTAGGTACGAATATTGTGAATTAACAGATCCAAAACAAAGCATGTCATTACTGACATTTAGTTTCTGACCCATGTAATTCAGTGTATCTCTGCTCTGTGGCTGCTTAGCTCGGTGTTCTGTATTTTAGTTTCACTCTTTCTGAAGTCCTTAATTTTACAGAATAACCTATTGATGATTATACAAACAGGAAACAAAAACAACCCACATTGTTTTCTTAACAACCTTAATCCTAAACTTGTCCTTCAAAGTACTCAAAACTTCTTGCAGCTTGGTGTCCTCCACAAAATTACAAATAGATAATATACATTGTAGCACCCAAGTTGTGGCTGAAGCTGTTGTGTGAATACAAGAGACTTCATGTGAAACACCCCCAACACTATAACAGGATAGTTTTAAACCAGTTTTGATAACTTTCTATAGTTAAAAGATTACCTCAGTGATTCCCACCATGAAATCTCATTAACTGGTTTTAATTAGTTGCCAGAAGTTCATGCCTTTAAATAATATGTCCTTTTTATATATATTTATCTTTGTGGGATATGAAAATAAAATGTACAGCAATAGCAAAAAAAAATCCACCCAAACCAACCCACATATCCCACAGACCAAAAGAAATCATAAACAAAACACAATTTGCCAATGAAATTATGAAGGAGAATAACAACCCTTTTTATTGGCAACAATAGGCTTTAATTCTGTAAATGAGCAAGACAATTTGATACAGACACATTTGGCCAAGTTTTATAACACTGAACAATGTTGTAATCTCATTCAACTTTAAAATTATAGGGAAGCTATTAGAAAAAATACCACAGCCCTTGCTTAAGATTTTCTACTGGGGAGAAAAAAAAAGGTACTTAGAAAAAGGCAGAGTTAATGCAAGGACAAGCGACATCAAGAGGTTTTTCCACTTCATGTGTTGCAAATGACACATTCAGACCTAACATAAAAACATAGACAAAACAATAGAAGTGTGCAGGTATTCTGGCCAGCAGTTAGTTTTACACATCTGTGATGCAATATTAAATTATCTCTTTCTTTAAAAGGCACATTTCTTTGATGTAAAATTCAGCTTTTGTGGTTCATTAGGACATGAAAATGAAGAGTGAAACAATTTTACCATGCTTGTGCTTAAACAACACAGCTGTATTGGAAGACTTCACCCCACAAAACATACAGTGAAGCTGTATGAAGCTTGTACATCAAGGTACAGGGCATAACCTGAAGACTAACAAGTGGGAGAGGACAGTCTAACAATGAATAATTCAAGTCAGCCATTAATCCTAAGAATATATTCTGTGCTGAAGTTATTATTGCTGCAGCAGGTGAAATGAAGAGTTTAAAAATAAATTTTTTATCAGTGGTGTACATCAGAGCAAGTTATTCCCAGACAACACGTAATATAGAAATCACTTTTGGATCACCTCTCTAAATTTATAAACAAATAACTAATAAAGTTTGTCATGAAATTGGTATGCAAGCTTTAGTTCTGAAACGGAGAAACCTGGCATTTAGAAATCCAATTCAATCTCAAAAATCTATTGTGTACATTCTGTTAGTATTGTTCCATTAGTTCAAATCAAGCAGGGCTTACAAGGACTGACACTGTTTCAGTTTTCAAACCGGTCATTTGTATTCAAATTCCGTGACTCTCCATGGCGTAAGACAAAGAAGTCATCTTTTTTCAAGCCATATCTTTCAAGAGCTTCATTCAATTTAACTGGAGGATCCAAGTAATACTGAAAAAAATGAGAATAATATGAGGGAAAAGATACCACTGCAACATTTTTTTGAAGGGAAAAAAATCTCTAAAAAACAGGGGGAGGAGAAGGATATTTATCAAATTAAAATGTTTGGGTTCATTTTAGATTTTTGGAATATAAGAACGCTGATTTACAGCTGCAGAGTAAGTAGCAAGGCTCAACTTGTGAGCCCGCACTCGGTGCCTCAAGGCAGGAATAGATCCCTCCGTTGGAAGCGCTGCCGCCAGCAGCCGGCGCTTTCCCCGCTGCGCACCCCGCGCTCCCCCCTCGTTACCGCCGTGTTTGTTACATTGCCCAAAGGCACCGCCACGGAGAAATCCTCTGTATTTGTGCTCCTAAATACACAGTAACTTTTGTACTGCGGACACAGTAACACAGCTTATTGGAAACGCTGCGGACGGGAAATGTTCTATCCACCCATCGCATCCTGTGCTCCCTCCACGCTCTGCCACGGAGCTGCACGAGCAGCAGGGACGGAGCTTAGACGGGACAACATTTGACAGATCAGGTGATCACACTATCAGGAATGAACTGGGAGATAAAGTGGTGCAACTGATGCAAAAACAAAGTTGAAAAACAGCTACCAGACAGTATCAAAATAAATGTAGCTACTTCCTATTCACTGCACTTTCAGTTGCTGTGAAAGTATCTGGGTAACCTTCTTATTAGATCTGTGGACTTAGGGGGGGTGTAGAGAGGAATAAAACATCTTAAAAAAATCAAAAATTCAGAATAACTCAATTTTTTCATGTCCTTTCTGGTTTTAACTTTGAATCAACTATTAAAAATACTGTACATATTTACTAAACAGATATAATTAATAAATACTGTTTGACCTACTGGTATGCAGTTCTTACTACCTCCAAGTGATGCACCACTCAGTTTGTTTTTATTACTGCATAACTTAATACATAACACTGCAAAATACTGCATGTGTCCTCATCTGTTATGTTCCTCAGCATCTGGATATCAGAAATCCTCCACATTTGCTTCAATAACTCTGTACTCTCTTAACCATGGAAATATTTTATGTAATTGGTTATGAAAAGCTAAGCATTGTTTTGAACAGCAGTATATAGAGTAACAATTTTCACTCATACAAAGTTCACATTTTAAGTTTACATTTACAGATGTGACAAGCAAAGCTTCACTAATGACTGTCTAGCACTTGGAAATCTCAGCTCATGCTTAGTGTTGCAATTTACCTCATTTGCTAAAGCAAAGGTCCCCCAATGAATTGCTACAGACTTCTTTGCTTGAACATCAATATGGATTCTTACTGCTTCTTCAGGATCCACATGCTGGTATTTCATAAACCACCTACCAAAACAAAGAAGCACTTTTTTGTGTCACCTAATCCAGTGCAAGATTTCTCCTTTACTGCCGTTGCAAAGTACAAAAAGAAATATGTGCTCACCTAATCAAAAAAATCATAAGCATGTACACCTGGACAATATACAGAACACTCAAGATCAGGAAACTAACATATACCAACATAACAGCAAACAGCAGTTCATTTATTGTACTGTCTTTTTGAAGGATATTTTCTTAACACTATTTTCAATAGGTTAGGGCCAAAACTTTAAATCCATCTCTGAAAAAATTTGGTGCTAGCAGTGCACACCAAAAAGTGTGTGCTTCAGAAATAGCCACAGGGATAGGCAAAACAGAAGAGAGAACCTGGCAATTCTTGAAAGATGCAGAATTTTTTACCATGCTGTTTGGATTCCCATCTTTTTTTCTCAGTCCATACATTCTTTTCTTCCAGCATCATATGAGTACTATCATCTAAATGTTTTCTCCAAAAGGAAAAAAGTTATCTCTCCTGAACAAACAGATTTTTCACACACTATAACCAAGTCATCCTTGTCTCCAGATAAGTTGCAAAACCAGGGTCAACACTGAAGCAAGAGAAAAATGCAGCAAATGACATAAACTGGAATGGCCTGGATAAAATTATGCTGTTTCAGAAAAAAAGGCACAGAGTAATTCCAGATTTTCACTCAACATTTTTAAGGGAAGAAAGACTGCTGATTCATCCTTGCTATCCTTAAGTCTGAAGAAAAAACTCTCCAAAAACTTTATTAAAACTACAGCTATAGTTTTAACTTCTGGGTGTATTTTTTGTCTTCAGTACATAATTTCATTTATGTATATCGCTCAAACTCTGATTTTCTTACCTTGGCTCATAAGCTCCAATGGGGATGGCTGCAAGATCAAAAGGTCCAAACCTTTTACCTATTTGTTCAAAAGCAAAACAATATCCAGTATCTCCTGCGAAGAAAAACCTGTTCCAAGGTCCCAAGACAGACCAGCTGCCCCAGAGAACCTTGTTATCATCTGTCACAGTCCTTTTGCACCAATGCTGGGAAGGAGTGAAGACAAAAGTGACCGCGTCGTGACCAGGGACACAGTTCTCCTCCCACCAATCCAGCTCGATGACATTCTCGCAGCCGCACCTCTGCATCCAGGGCAGGAGCCCCAGGGGCACGAACCAGCGCAGCTCGCTGCCGAAGCGCTCGTTGAGGCCGGCCACGCTGTTGTAGTCCAGGTGATCGTAGTGGGTGTGGCTGATCAGCACCGCGTCTATCCTGGGCAGCTGCGCCACCGTGCACGGAGGGCCTCGGAAGCGCTTGGGGCCCAGGAGCTGAATGGGGGAAGCTCTCTGGCTGAAGATTGGGTCCGTGAGAAACACCAGTTCATCCATTTCCACCAGAACGGTGGCGTGTCCCAGCCACGTGACCCGCATTCCAGCTCCTGTCTGCCCAGCATCTTCTGGGCTTCGAACAAAGTAAGGCTGTAACACTGGGAGTTCTTTGTCGAGTTCCTGGCAAAAAAGAACACAATATGCATGAGAGATTTCAGAATGTACTTGGCCATGGAACAAAAACTGCACACAAGGCAAAATCTATACAGTCAAATCTTGTACTTTGTTTATGCTTTTATGCAGAGAACTGCAGCACACACCAGATGCCTTTTTAATGTCCATTTTCCCAGCTACTTCCTCCTCATTTATTTTTAGGTTTTTACTACATTTACACTTCTCTAAGAGAGTATCCCATCAGACCAGGAGACCTGATAGTGCCTTGCAGTGCTTTCACTGCAATGTCCCCAGACTAGCAGCATCACAGGAAGGGATTCCTCCACCTGAAAAAGAATATGTATACATACACACGCACAGAGTGTTACTCAACAAATACTCAAGTTTAGCTTATGCAACTCAATAATGCATCCTCTTAAGTCCTAGCACAGGTAAGTCACACATGAAAGAAACTGCCATGTTCCCCAGCCACACTCCACTAAAGCTCTGCTAGCTTTTGTCAGGCCCTCTCTCTCTGCCCATCCTCATTACATCTAGAAGTAGCACACAAAGGTTAACCTCACTTGGCTAATGTTAGCTATTACAATTCTGCCTTCTCATCTTGCCAAGAATATAATGAACATTCATAATGAACAAAATAACTTTTAAGATAAACCTTAAGGTACATAGATATGCTTGGTTATGAAAAGGTTCCACCACCTCTTCCCTTATTCCAGCTTGACAAGTTTTGCAGTCCCTACTTGAGTATGACAGGTCAGAAAACTGATCTGGCTGAACTTAATCCAGAGGTAAAAAATACACAGCTCTCATTTTGATTGGCTCCAGTCAGACTCTGCGAGTATCCTCAAGCTGGCACAAAGGAGGCCATGGCTGCACATTACCTACTGAAACTCACTGCCCAACCACCACTCATTCTCTCATTTTGAACCAGAGTTATGCTCTTCACTGCAGGTGGGTTGAAGTGCTAATGCAGAAGTTTTATATGTAATAAATAAGAGCTTTCCTATTAAAAACAAACAAACAAACAAACAGTCTTCTCAGAATTCCTGACCATCTCCAGCCTAGCCACAATGTGGCTAAGGCTCTCCTCCCAAACACTTATGGTCTGAACCCCTCACTTTGCTTTAGAAGAATTTCCACGTGCTAGGGCAGCTTTTAGACTCCTGGTACTCCTCTCCCTCATAATCACAAATGTCCCAGCACTTCTGGTTCCAAGTCAAGTTCTGCCTGCCATGGCTGCTGCTCTCATTCTCTCAGCCTAGCACAGATTAGCACTATCAGGGAGTTTATACAGAGCTGACCTTGTGCTCCTTTACAAGTCCAGCTGATGCTGTGACAGTTCAGGACTCCAGGAGCTGCCTTGCTAAACCAGTCCTGACAGCTTCAGGGAAGTTACTTTCTCCACAATATTTTATTGATTTGGAAGGCATATGTTGGGAAAAACAAAGCATGCACATCTCCATCCCCCTGCAATTCTGCTGTAAATAATAAAATATTCATGAAATTGCTTTTTCTGAGAGCTAATGGACAAGACATGTTTACTGAAGAAGTTTCATTACTGTCTCCAGGAATGAGAAATAGATAACCTTCTACAAAGCTGAACATAAGGTTAGTACAACTCATCCCCTTAGTTCATACAGGAAAAGTAGGAATCTTAGACTGAGATAAATGGCTGCTTCACCAAGAAAGAAGTCATCCTTTTCTTATCTCTATTTCATTCTAAGTACATGGGAACAACATTGGCCACAGAAATCTGAACTACAAAAGTGTTATACTGTGATATTTCAACCTAAAAAAAAACATACACAAAACTAACATAGTACTCAAAAATGGAAATTAGGACAAACCAACAAATTACATATGGTTAAGTCAACAAATCAGATTATATCAAAGAAATAAAACTCAGATATGGAACTTAATGAATTGTCATAATGCAATTTAGGTCAATTAGTGCATTTTTAATGGAAAATGTTCTTTTTAAGTAGCTGGTTTTAGAGTCAGACTCCGAATTTTCTCAAAACTAAATGAATTCACTTATTTTTGCTGATATTTGGCACAAACTAGTTTTTAAAATTAGCATTATGCAATATTAATAAACAATATTAAATAGATGAGGAACTGGCCAATTGGCAGATGTGAAAAATCAGTTCTTAAGTGGGACTCGGACATATTCTATGAAGTTTTATCTGGGCTACAGTTAATTTTCTTCCCAGCAGCACCCACAGTGCTATGTTTTGGATTTGTGCTGCAATCAGTACTGACAGCAGACTGGTGTTTTAGCTAGTGCTGAGCAGCGCTTCCACAGCACCTCAGCCAGCTGACTGGGACACAGCTGGGACAGCTGACCCCAATCCATCAGGGATTCCCATACCAGACATTGCAGCCAGCAGTAATATCTGGGGTAAGAGGAGGAGGTGGGGGACACTCAGAGTGGATGGTGTTTATCTTCCCAAGTAACTCACAAGGCAGGCAGCCCTGCTTTCCTGGGGATGGCTCACACCTGCCTGCCCATGCAAAGAGAATAAATTTCTTAGTTGGTTTGTGCATGCAGTTTTTGCTTTACCTATTGAACTGTCCTTATCTCAACCCACAAGTTACTTTATTTTTCCCCTTTCAATCCACTGGGGAGGAAGCAGTGGAGGGTGGAAGCAAGCAGCTGACTGGAACTTGGCTGCCTAAAGCCACAACACATCTGCACTATTAATAAAGGCTTTACAGGGATGTCAGTGGGATTGATGCCATCGAGTACTTAGAATAGTTGATTTTAAGGTAGAACTAATCACTATAAAAGGCATTTGTGAAAGTCACACAGACAGGAAGATTGATAGAGCAGAGCACAGTCCAAACAGTAGCTGTCCTGACCTATTGAAATGAAATTCTGTGAACAAAAGTTCAAGACAAAGCAAGAGCACAAAGGCAGTGTAACCTGTACAGAGCTTGTGCTCTCCACATTTCTGATACACAGGCTTCTGATCCAAGCAATGATTCCTCAGAGGATGAGAGCACAAACCAGGCATGTTGTTGAGCTATCATGGTAAATCACACCAAAACATTACTTCTCAGTGCACATGATTTGTGTTTGGGGTTGTTTAGTTGTGGTTTTTTTTTTTTTTTTATTTTACAAAAGCACACTAAAATCCCCTTAAAGCAATAAGAAATACTCAACTCATAAGATTTCAAACTAAAACACAAATTCTATTAGCAGTATAGTTCACATGAAATACTTTAAACTCACACAACAGGACAAAGCAATATAATGAATGAAATATGTATCTTATGGAACTTTTATCCTGCTATAATACATTTTGTTCTGTCAGACTAACAAGAAACATATTAAAACTAGAAGAATTATAACAGATTTTTGAAATACAGCAATTATGTTAAATCAGCTACCAACAGAAGTAAAATGTGCTTAAACTGTCTTGTCTTCATTACCCAAGTAATACAAAAAATTCCTCCTGCTGTGTCCCTTCCCCCTCCCCGTTCTTGCCCTCCTAATGCAAAGCAAGAAAAAACACATGACAGGCTTTGGTAAGACTGATTAGCTTGGGATTTTTGGTGCTTAGTGCATACTGGAATACCACAGGATTTACAGAAATGAAAACAATCTAAACTGCTGATCCAACAACTAATAATGAAAGATCCTCCAACAGCACTGAACAAAGTTATTAATAAAGCCTGTAATGAAAATACAAGGAGTGCATGTATTCTGGATGATGATCCAGGTTCATTGTGTAGGCATGATTATAATACATATAGCTTTTCCACAGTGAAGCACAAGCACAGATCCTGGATAATGTGCTCCTTTTTACATACACAAAGCACTTGGTACAGATAAACTGAACCTGCCCAGCATAGCAGGGCATCACCAGGCTCACCCAATGTGGAAACTGAAGCAGGGATCTGGCTCAGAGGATGTGACATCTAGCAGTGATAAATAAAGTATGGAGCCCTTAGTTTGAATTTTAAACAAGCTCAGATGCACTTCACAGGTTGATGTAGGGGTGGAAGAAAACTGGTTGAAACAAGCATCAAAATGGCTGAGGACTCCAGAAGTGCATTTCATTGATCCCTATCTAGGTTTTTCTCTTTCTGATTTACTTCACCAAACTTGTGAATAATTACAGGCACCTAATTAAAAGATCTCCTATGCAAAAAATAAAATTAGCCCATGATTAATCCCAGCTGGGTCAGAGAGATGGCTTTTTGGCTTTTCAGCTGGTGCCTTGTAGATTTTTGTGATCATCCTTTATTGTAGGGACAAACTGTAAATTAAAGGGGACTGCTGCAGTTCTGCATCCCATCAGAGTGCTGCAGCTCTGCACCCCACAGTGCACCTCAGCTTTGCCTTCAAGGGACCTCAGTTACTGCCCAGCTTTCTGACTGGCACTGGGAAGACATGAAGTCTGCTCTACACAAACCAAGGAGGGCAGCAGTCAAAGGCAACTGAAAACTTACAGATGTGCATTTCATGGAAATGTGGCCAGCACAGTCTAGAAAGCTGTACACACTGATGCCACCATGGTCACCACAAGGAAGAGACCAAATTTTAAAAAGTAAATTGCTGGAAGGGATCCCAAGACTGACACAAGTTTGCTGATCTTCTAAGTCAATTTATTTATTATTATATTATAGCAAATTTATTTGTTTCTTAAACATCCCCAAACCATCATGCATTAATGTCTAATGTGGCTTTCCTGCCCATAAAACTGATAGAATTCCTTCCTTCACAGGTAGTTCAGGTAAGACAAAATGGAAAGCTCTTTGCTAGATACTGGCTGTGAGATTTATAGCTTGTGCATACCTTCCTGCATGCTTAAAAGCATTATTAACACCTGCTTGTTAACAAGTACTGTCCTTGGCTGTGCACCCTTCAGCACAGCTTTTCTGAGTACAGTCAACATCAGAAATGCCCTGAGAAGTAATTCTGTCAAAACCCAGTCATCTTCATACCTCCTGTGCCCATAAAGATAACCCATGGCTTTCCAGTACCCATTACTCTTCATGGGAAAGAAGCTTCTCCTGTCTCCTTCTTTACATACAATACCTGACAAAAGCATTTCACCACCAACAAATAACAGTGTTACCCAGTAAACTGGCATTGTACTTTCAGTGTTTCAGTACAAATACTTGCTCAAGTTAGTTTTAACACATGCAATTTTTTCTCCTGGTGTACTGAAACATAAAAAAACAAACCTGTAAGTATTTTCATAAGTAGGTGACAGAAACTATTACATTTTCATGCAAGAGATGCAATATATGTATTCAATTGCCATCTAGAAAAAAAGGTAAAATTTTAAAAATTGGATATGTCATAAAATAAGCTATTTCATGCAACACAAATTAAGTTAATAGAATGCTTCATAAGGCAACACCTATTAAAAAGGAATTGCTGTAAGTGGTTTATGACTGAGCTAGAGGGCCATTTTTTTTGTTTTTTTAAATATAAACTGAGCTGTATAAATTAAAGCATGTGGAACTGACAAGGAGATAAAAATTAAAGAGGTAGAAAGTATTAACCTACCTTTTGAAAAGAATAAAATGTCAATAAAATCAGAAAAGTAAGACTTAGAAAAGTCTCCAGAAGATGCCTAATGAGTATTAAGTTAGAAACTGTCCTATTTTATTGATTAGAGCAGAGGTAAAAGCAGTCTTAATCACAAAAGTAAAACATGGAAGTATTCACCTGCTTTGAGCGTGGCACATTGCTGTTATTTTTTTCCATGAAGGACCATTTCAAAATGTTGGGTAAGGTTGGTGATTTCCATGTTGGCCACGGGTTGACAAATCTCCCATCTTTGCCCCTCTTTGATTTAGTGACATCCTCTTCTAACCTGTAGTCCAGCCTGAAGCTTTTTCTGAAGGTCCTGGAAAGATCACTGGCCCCAGAAGCTCGACCCGAGTTCTGCCGTCTCTTCACTGCTTCCTTGGGGTACTGGTTACAGGAAGTTGAAGGCTGCTCCTCATCTGTGTTCTTATCCATGCCTTTTTCAGGAGAGCTAAATCAAATTTGAAATTAATCAATATTTTCTTGGTCTAGCATAAACATTCATAAGACTGAATGTTCTCACACACATTAGGAACAAGCCCGCCTTTCCTGTTTTATGATCTACTGGATTTTTTTAATCAACAAAATATGCTTTTAAAACAGCCACTGTTACACAAAAGACTTCCAAAACATGCTGTGACAAGCAGACATGAGGGCTCTTTGTAGTTCAGGATGAATTTTACTCCCTGGAATGCACAGTTTCGGTTACTAACACTATTATCTACCAACTGCAAAAGTGAGGGGGAAGGGTTCCTTAATTTACATTTTGGAAGAATAGTCATTCCTCCTGAAACTTATGACATTTGGTGCCTGATGTAACACAATCCTGCAAGTCTGTGCAAGAGGCACTGGGATATACCATACCTTAGGATTTGCCTATATAATGCCTTGGTTTTGTAGTAAAAACTGCAGTCTTGTGTAGCATTGCCAACACTTACACCAACACACATGCAGGAAACTCAGAACACAAAAGAATATTTGGTACTGTTTCATATTTTGTCTAAAGCAAACAAGAAGTTTATTATAATCAAGGTAAATAACTGTTTCAAATACAATTTTGATACACATTGAACTGAACTGACTGGTGAAAAGCCACAGGAAATTGAAATCTTTTAAATCACAGATGCAACATTCAATCTTAATTCCATTGTGAAATATAGAAAAGTGAGAAAATAACTGAGAAAAACTTATTTCTATGAAGTCACGATTCTGGTACATTTCTTAGAAAACTACAACTCAGTAGTCAGAGTATCTTATTCCAAACTGCACTTGGGTGTTGCAGACTTTACAAATATAATTGAATTATACCCAATGCAGAAAAACAAAATATCCCTATTTTATTTCAGAAGTTGTCAAAGCAATTCAATTGAATCTAAATGCTACAATTGCTATGTTTACTTTCAACTGAAATGTTGAAAGTAAATACACTGCTCTGTTAGCTTAAAAAAATGGTTACTGTTTTAATGAGTGCATAACTTTCTGGCATTTACAAATTCTACCTAATTAAAACTGGAAGACAACTAGTAATGAAAAGAAGCACTAGTTACAGCTAGGTGCAGGAATAGTTTTTAATAACAAATTGTGAAGTTCATCCTGTGGAAAATTCTCCACCACATCTGGTAGATGGACAGCTCTGTCCTCCCTACTGTTTCACTAACTCAAATACTCAGAGTCCAGCTGTACACTCAGGAGCACTGGGCTGGTGTAGGCAAGGCAGTCCATGCAACAACAATCCCAGAGAACAGAACTGAAGCTCACAGTTTTCCTAGAAATCTCATAACTCATTCTGCCCCATAAGCTCAGTCACAGGGAAAATTAAATGTATTGTTCACTGCACCATTTCAGCTAAGACATTACACATATGTGCCAGCAAACTGAACCCAATGCATCTGGGGATGATGCTCCAACTCCAAATGCAGAGCCCATTTCTGCTATTTCAGCAGCAGCTGATGACTAAACACTAAGTATGGTATCAGCTGCAAATAATATGACAATTGATAAATATTGTGAAATTTTCCTAACAAAATAACCATTATTGTGCTATGCAGTAGAGATAAAATACTAACACATCAAAATTCATTTCTAATAAAAAAGCATGAACAGCATTCAGCAAACATGGCTGATAGAATTTTTTTTACCCCTGGTTACAATCTTATTTTATGTAATTGCTTTGTACTCCTGTTTCCCTGCAGTTTTACTGAAATCACTCCACTAACATATTTCCTGTTTAGCATTAGGATACCATATCTGCATCAGTTTCAATTTAACTCTTGCTATTTCCAGGCTTTTTTCCTCTATTCCACTAAACATTTCCCAGAATCAGCCTTCAATGAAACACTCAACTTGCTCTATAGCATTTTAAGCAGATGTAAATGGTAACACAAGGAATCAGTGCCACAGAAAGGCAGACAGAATACCCAAAAATTGGCACTGAATATTTTAGCTGTTACTTTAACTTAAGAGTTGGGTTGTCTTTTACATTCCTCCAAGAGCATTTTCAATGCCAAGTCAGTTTATTAATTTAACAAAGCACACAGACACAGCATAAAACAGCTACTCTTTTAGAAAGCATCATGAAAACAGATCACAAAAGTTTAATCAGATGGGTGCTTAATTCCAGGAAATTATTCTCTTAACATCTCAGACATCTGATTTTTAAAGTGTATATAACCACCATAATTATTGCTCCTACAAGACATTTTATATTAGAGACTAGGGTGCCTAAAGTTTTATTTTTAAGCTTCTCTTTATCTATTCATTCATCGCTAAAATAGGTGAATTTTACTTTTGCTTAAACCTTCATATAAACCTTTGATCTTTTGCTGAAAGTATAAACCCCTAAGGGAAGCAGGGATCGACTGTGCTGATTAAACAGAGACAATGCCAAAGCATTGAAGGCACTGCAGGTATCTCTCTGTCTGCCAACATATTTTCCACATGATGCACATACATTACTTTCATTAGTATTCCATAAGCAACTGAAGGGATAAAAGACCTCAGTGCTCACAGAATACTTTAAACCTTTTACATGCATAAGAAGGGGACAGATTTACAATCAGTTAAAGTATTCCTGATGAACCGTAGGTTCCTTTGAAGTATCAGTCTTGCCAGATAGTTTCTGTTCCACTTCAATTTATTAAATATACCCTACAATATTCATGACATAATTTTCTTATATAGAAGAGCAAGATGATAATTTCTTGAAAGCCAGAAATCATTAGCTTAAAATAAAACCCAACCAATTATAAGCCCAAGGAGATTCTTATGCTTTTGCAAAAGAAAGCCTCTACAGATAAGGAGATTTAGCAGGTATACATTAAATACTAGAAAAACCCAATCAGAAATCAGTTGGTTTTTCTGCCAGCTTTCCTAAATTCTTCCTACCCAAAAATAATAGTTTGGCACTTGAAAAACTACTTGAATGGCAGCAAAAATTATGAGCTATAGAAACACAGAGTTCTGTTCACTTAGGAGGGACAGAGGGAAGGGATCACATCTCTGGTTAATGTTTATTGTTATATAAAGTTCTACATAAAATATTTTTATACTTTTAAACATAAAGAAAAACCACTATTCCACTTAAAACCATTTAACAGTTTTCCTGGCCAATGTAGCCCATCCTTCAGGATGAGGCAACTTACCCCAGCTGAGGGCAAGTGCATTGACAATATTTGTAAGAGGGGCTCAGGACAGACACAAGGCAATCACCCCCTCTCTCTGTGGCAGAGGTGCTTTGCTCTTTCAGCTGAATTCAGAAGAGGAAATGAAGCAAGACATACAAACTCCTAAAGAAGACCATTAGTCATCCAAATCCACGAGGCCAGAAGGTGTTCTAGACAGAGGGAAAGAACACAGAACAGGCTGATGAATAAGACAAAGTTTAACATGAATCAAAATGCTGAGCTCACAGATCAGGTTTTCCAACATCAAATACAAAGGCATCCCTCATAATCCACAAAGGAAGAGTGAAGTTGTAGATCTGGCAAGACATGGCATGGAAGATCCATGTCTGACATCCCACTAAACTGGCTTACAACAGGATATGCCCCCCTAGGACAACAGGTTTTGGGTAAATGGTTTCTTTTAGCATTGCTTATATAACTGAAGATGCGGATACAAATGTTTTGGCTTTGAGCCTTGTGTTTATTTGGGAAAATAACAAAAATTTAGCTAAATATTTTAATGCTCTGTTTCAAAATAAGGTTTGCAAAAGGATACAACAACATTATAAGAAGCACTCTGCCATTATAATTTTTCTTTTTAAATGGTCTTTTAAACAAATTACGTGAACATCGCCATAAAATCTCGTCTTCACTTTTTCCACCCAGTCTCTGCTAAGATCTGCTGCTCCATAAATGCAAGGGATGTAGTTCCCCTGCTAATCACAAAGCCATGAACAACATGCTACAAAGTATCAAGCCAAAACAGACTTACTCCTCATTTGTACACAGAAATGTGGTCCTTATGTAACAAATCCACAGGCCTGACAATTTAAGAATTACTATCAGGCCATGGTTTACCAGAACACAACTTCCCCAAAACTTGAAAATTGCCTGGTAAACATTCCATAGCCTCCCAAATACCTTGAATTTCTCTGGTTTTTTTTGAAGTAAAGGGTTTGGTTCATTTTTAATCACTGTCTCTCCGTGTAAACTGCATCCAGAAGTAGGCTGCACTAATGATCACCTAGGAGAGATAGCACACAATTCCCAGCAAACTCACACCACTGCAGCCTCACCAAAACAAGACTCTGAGCTTTCTCCATAAACAGCTACACAACTCTGAAGTTTTCTTTCATTATACACATTTTTCTTTCATTTTCTTTCATTTCATTATACACATTTTTCTTTCATTATACACATTTTTAATGACTGCAAAAACCCAAGCATTTTGGCTTGAAATAAAACAAAAAATTGTTTCAGTTAGAAGGAAAGGTATTTGCAAACTCTAGGGACCATGTAAGTAATTGGCTCCCACAAGCTTTACTATCAAATGCCTGCCAGCTAAGTTTTGGCTCTGCTTTTATTTTCCCTTCAGCTCTGAAATTGGCTGCTTTAATTAATGAACAGTTTGAGACTGGAAAATTCTGAATGCATTTAAACTTTTATTGTGCTTCAAGTTGTTCCATCTTACCATTGTAGACTCACCAGAAGAAGAACCTGAGCTTTCTGTGAACTGTATACTCCTTCTTTCACTATACCTATTTTTTATCACTGCACAGCAGTTGCACCAGCAATTATTCCAGATGCTCTTGTTATTAGGATTTCACACAAAGATCCCTCAAGCTTGCATTAGCTGATCTGTGAATACTTCTATTGTTTGAATCACATTAAAAATCCTTAGTAACAAAAAGTGTTGCCAAAATTTTCGTTCAACATATCTCTAAGTATCCTGATTCTACACTGTCCTCGTGTACTATTCAAGAAAGATTAATAAAAGAGTTGATAACAGAAAAAGGAATAGCTCTCTCCATAAACAGCCTCATGGAATGAGAAGTCCTTTATCATTCTTATCTAGCTTTGAGGATCAACAGTAAAACAAAGCAAAGTTTTATTTAGACATCACAGAGAAAAATAAGATTACAAATAAAAAAAAGTTGAGACATCTACCCACAGACATCTGTTGTTAGGCTTATTCTATAGCAGCTGTATTACTTAAGCAGCTACTACCATGAGCCAATCCATTTCTGTCCTCACTGCTCACCCGGGCTTGCCAAAACAAATACTTTTGTCCACATGGTGAACTTGTTTAAGAAACTAATCTAGCTGATAGTCACTTCTTACCTTCCCATCCCTAGAGAAGCATTTAATTTTCACCTGCATCATGGAGCAACCATGCAGGTGTTTATACCAACAAACTGGTTAGGACAGGGAAGGGTGAGAACAGGAATATATTGTTGTAAACAAAAACTACTTATGCCAGCACTGGCCTAGAAAAAATAATTAATTAAATACCCTCTATTTAGAATTCAGTGTGTGGCTCAGTTACACATACCACCAAGTTAGGTTCAACAATTCCTCCTACCCTTTCATTTTCAATCTATTCTCTTCCAAGGTTTCATTTACACTTAGCACTGATGCTGCTGCCTCTCTCCATTTACCTCCTTAGACAGTGATGTTCCATATTATAACCAAGCACATTCAACAGCTCCCTACCACCCACAGGGCAGCCCACTCCCATTACTGCACATTCCACCTCTAGTTTGCTGGCATTCATTAGGGGAACTAAACCAACAGAAAGTTATTCATGCCTATCAGCTACACCTTTACATGCCTCTGGATGCAAATGCAAATAGGCTTCAGAGTCAGGCCCATCAGGAGTCCCTGGAGCCAATCATTTCTAAAGGCTGGGTTAAACCTGACCAGCTGTGGGCACTGTGGCAGCTGAATAAAGACCCTGGATCTGGGACAATACAGAACCATTTCCCCTTTGTTTCCAGGTGCCCCAGCTGATTGTCCCTGTGAGCATTCTGTAGTCCCCAAACATGTCTATGATCTGTAGATAATAAGAGAGAAGATTTTTGTTACATGCATACCCTGTTTAGGTTGTGATCCCTGATATGACAGCAGCTGTCCACAGGGGACACGCAGCAGAACAGAGATGACAGACCCAAGAGAATATTTATTTAGTTTTACAGGCCTTTAAAAGAAATTCTTTTCCTCTCTACCCTCATCTTTTACTGCAGTCTTGAATAAAAGAACCCAAGAGTTGGCTTGTGGCCATCACATCTGAAAGAGCAGCCTAGACTATCATTATGATTAAGCACAAGAGCAATGTAATTCTGTGCTATTGCTGAAGCAGTCACCAAAGGGAAGCTGGAGTCAAATCTCCCTACACCAGAAAGGAAATTGCTTTCCTTTGCTCTCCCTAAACAACCAGTTTCATAAGACTAGTTAATTTATAGGGAAGGATGTTGAAAGAACAAGAGATGGAATCAAAGTTTTCTGACCTGCTCTGCAGGGCTGAGGCTGGGTTTGTGCATTACAGCTGTGTTATGGCACACAAGGAGCAGGGTTTGTGCATTACAGCTGTGTTATGGCACACAAGACAATAGCTGGGTCACAAATCAGGAGCAGACAATTTTTTAAATCAACAGAAAAATAACTGTAGATGGCATATGCACACAGCTGTACAGGCAGGTTGTGCATTCCAACAGCAAGTACAATCTCCATGGATAGCCCTTCATACTCAGATTTCAATAAAGCTTTTCCAAAAGAGCAAACATGAAAGTTGTAGCAAGCCAGCTCTGGGATCCAGAGCCCAGCTGTAACGTTCTGGCAGCAGCTGCACTGCTGTAACTCTTTATGCCAACGGGCAGTCCATGAGTTTCAGCTGCTTACTGATGTGACTCCAGGTCATGACAGAGGCACACCTTGCCAGGATGGGGTTCACTGTTAGAAAAGATTGTCAAACTTTGAAGTTGAGCATTTAAAAACACTTTAGCCACTCCTGTGTGTTAACAGCCTCTGCATCTTGGAGTCTGCATTTTAAGTTATGATACCATTAAAGCTGTTAGCATACGTTTTTCTTAACTAAAAAAAAAAAAAAAGTTTTAAAATATTACAAGCTCACACTCCATCCTAAGGGTAAAGGTTTTCCATCTAACATCTTAATGTCAAATAGATATGACTAAACCCAAATGCTATTACATGGAATGAAATTAAGGCTCCACTTAACATGCTGGGGGAGAAAACTGATGTCCTTTGCAGCATGTGGTTAGGGAGGCAATGTAAGAACTGTTTCCATAAAAACAGACAGAAATCATGTTAAAGCTTTGATGCATGGGATCCACATGGCAAAGCAGGATCTAAAGTTCATTTACCATCGACTCCAGAACTTTTATGTGTGCAATTGCTATCTCCACCTCATTTACTAAGCCTTTTAATTTTCTTTTTCCTTGTCTCCCTGTGCCAGAAAGGAACAAACACCTAAGCAAACTTCCTCTAGACTCACACCAACAATAATCCTTTAAACCTCTATAAAAGCTCAGTTGTCCAGGAAGTGCAGCAACACCCAAGAGCTCCATTTTATTTTTAAGTTAATAGACAGTCATAAAATTTTGTTTATATTCATATTTAAAGGTTTGTCTATTTTGATTCCCTCTTTTCAGTTCAAGGTCCAGGTACATTTGGTCCAGTGTAATTTCTCTGCAACATGAAAATACTTCCCTAAATTCCTTATATTTTTGATTTTCAATATAAAATCAACTTTTGCTTGTCCTAACAACATTCTTTCTCTCCCTCTATATATTTACATACACCCCATACATATATGGATTTTACAGAACTATTTATAACATTTGAATTCAAATTTATTGAAATCCAATTGAATAATTACCAGGTTGGGTAAGATAAGGAAGTGAAATTTATTTTTTTAAATTAAAATAGATGCTTTTCTTCAATGCACCTGTTCAAAGGCCAACTTTAAAATGAGTTAAGCCAAAAGGGCACCAGCCTTTCCAAATAACGAAAGTTTTGAACATCCAAACTTGATACCAGAAAGCCAGAAACCACATCCAACACAGCACCCTTATAGTTCTTTAACTGAAACACACCCATTTTAAGAAGAAATTCCAAGGAACAGTACAGAGACACAGCAAAACATCAGTCCTGAAGGAAACTGGAAACATTATGATACTTAAATGTTTTTCATTCCACCCTTTTTTCCTATATATAAAGGGCCTTTGATTCCATCCCCACAACTCTAGATTACAATGTCTTCACTACTCTAAACAAAATGCAAAGTGCTTTGGTTGTAAGTCAACAACAGAAGTGTTAATACCAGAAGTTGTGTGGTTTGGGTTTTTCTTCTTATGAGAGAGTCAAGGCATCCTTCCAACACAAACATCTGAGCCTTCTACTCATTTTCAAGGCACCATCCTAAATACACAGGTGTTTTAAGGAGACAAAGTGTTTCATGTGAACACATCTGAACAGACACACTAACACCTTGCTACTGCCACATTCTTATCAGAAACAGCTGAATGAAACCTTCCTACAAAAACCAGTCCAAAGCACGACAAAAATATTCCCAAATATTTTAAGCCATAAAAGCAGTTGTCATATCATAAGCCTTACTCACCAGGCAGTGGGACTTCCAGCTCCAAGCACAGTTAACAGGTCTTACAGAAGAAGTAACTCTTGGCAGAGATTCTTTAACACCCAATTTTTCACTCACACCTCTTATGAAACTTTGTTTTCCACAGCAGGGGTATGATGGCAGCAGTGGTTTCACAGTGTCAGCTGGCAATGCCCAGCTCTCTCTCCTGAACAGCTTGGTCAGGTTTATCTGCTTGGGCACAGTTGCAGGCTGTTCAAACCCAAACCATCCCTTCCTTGCACAGCTGCTAAACACCAAGATGTTACATGCCAAGAGTACACAACACATACCTTCTTTCCTAGATTTTCTAACCATATTTAAACTGTACCTTCTTTCCTAGATTTTCTAACAATATTCCAAACTAAGTGCAACATTCAGTTTACAGAAAAATCCTTTTTGCTCGAATCTTTACGCACAAGGCAATCAAGTGATTTTCCATGGTCCTGGCTCTGAATGTATTAGAAGTAGGGCTCACACTGCAAACTATAAAGTTCAAGCAATAGACTGAAAAAAATTAAAGGGAGATCAGGAAAGGATTCATAGATGTGACAAAAAGCAAAACTAATTTCACTGCAGGTATTACATATAAAGACACTAATTAATATAGCAGTATTTCTGTTTTCCTCATCGCAGACAAAATAATTGCCTTCCTTTTTGCTGAAAAGAACGTAAAAGCTATTTCTGAATGAAGAATTAACAGTTTTGGTTCAAACTTGAGCTTACAAAGGCTAAGGAAATAGCATTTTTCTCCTGGTTATTGCTCAAATCTACTTAGATAATGCAAGTGAATAAAACTATAACAGTGGATTGCTTCCTCTTAAAAAGGCTTCACATCTCTTTTGATTTGAGGCCAAGCAGAAGCTGAATAACTGTTATTTATATTTGAACAGTTTCACTGTTGTCCCTTACTTCCCTCCTCTCCCAAAGACAACTCTCCATCATCCATAACTGAATCAAACAGGGCTTTCCAACCTCCAGGTAATAAAAATTCCCATTGTTTTTTATAATAGGCATTTCACTTTGAGATAATTTGGGGTATTTTGAAAGCTACTGTTGCAATAATTCTTGAATTAATAAGTAAAAAGAATAATATTCTTGTCTTCCTCAAAATGTTATCTACAAAGTAAGATAAGCTTCCTACTTTCTTAACTGATATAGCTGCTACTATGAATTAAAAAAAATACTCTTTTCAAAGGTTTTTTTGCAAGAAAACGGAAGTGATTTTCCTGTTATTGTCTTTAATTTTGATGCCCTTTTAGTCGAGGCAGTTTGAGAATGAAAGAAAAAATACTTAAGTACAAATAGTATTTGCCTTTAAAACTAAAAACTTGCTACATAATCACCATTTAGCAAATGGAAGAAATCATAGTCGTCACCAGAAAAAACATTTCTGCATAGGTTCATTAATTTTACTGCATGCAGTCAACAAACACTTTCCCCAAACCCTTGCTAGCTAGAGATAATTGACGATCATTGAGATTATTTGACTGCACTAATTGCATTAAATGACCTCCTTAATATCCTCCGCTTCGCACTATACAATGCGAACAGAAACATCAGTTCGTGCCTCCTCTTCAAAAGAAAACATTCTCCAAGCCGCCGACACTATGAAGCGGATTTTTTTTTTTTTTTTTTTTGAGATTATATAACTTGTTTCTTTCCCAGCGCTGCTGCAGCATGTTTTACTGACAATTGACAGAAACGAAAGCCTTGCGCTGGGAGCGACAGCAGGACTTTATTTCTTGCACGGTTTCTTTCGCCGGTGCGAAAGGATCCCCCGGTCACAGCTGGATTTGGAGCCCGTCAGGGTCTGCGCCCAGCCGGGGCGGCAGGCAGGGAGCGGGGCAGGGAAACACGCCGAG